GATTTATGTAAACAAATACGAAACACTATTTATTATGGTTAAGAGCTGGGAATGATTCAAATGAATGTCCTTGAATTTTGATTGGTCTGATATATACTCATTATTAGAAGCAGATTATGATATATTTCTTTGGTAGGAATATTATGGAACAGGTGGAGAAGAAAAGAATCTAATCACATGGCACACAATTTTGTCTGTCTTTAATTCCACTATAGTTAATAGTTTCAGGTGTACATTATAGTGACTCAACAGTTACATACATCACTTGGTGCTCATCATATGGTTTACAATTTTGATTTGTCACAGTACCAATGATGACCCCTTGCATTGTTTGATTAACATGTAACTGCCAACTTTCTATATTGTTAGTCTTTCCCTTTTGTAATTAATAAGTGTTTTGTGGGAAGGTGCTTTGAAATTATTTAAATATCCTGTTCCTCAGATTGTTACTTTATCATAACAGTATGGCCTTTTGGCTTCCTATTTTACTGGATGCATTGAATCAGTTATTATTTATTTTTATGCTCAAATTGTCTCCAATTTGATTTATGGTAGTCCCTTCAAGTTGGCTTCTGTGTGTTTGTGAATGACAGCCTATTATTCCGTGGGCATATCTTTGCTTTCTAAAAAAAACAAAGCTAGGTGTTTTTTTTTTTTTTTTTAATTTTTTTTTTTTTTTCAACGTTTATTTATTTTTGGGACAGAGAGAGACAGAGCATGAACGGGGGAGGGGCAGAGAGAGAGGGAGACACAGAATCGGAAACAGGCTCCAGGCTCTGAGCCATCAGCCCAGAGCCCGACGCGGGGCTCGAACTCACGGACCGCGAGATCGTGACCTGGCTGAAGTCGGACGCTTAACTGACTGCACCACCCAGGCGCCCCAAAGCTAGGTGTTTCAAGATCTTTGTGTACTTTTCTTCCAGAGATCTTGAATCAGCCATTTCTCTCTCTTAGTGAAGAATAGTATTTAAGAGCAAGATCTGGACATGGGATGTTCAAATATTGCTGCTCTCAAGTCCTCTCAGTTGAAAGAACTAGGGACTATATATATAGGAGTATGTATTTGAATGAAGGAATATATTTAATATATACTTTTATATATGTCTGTAGTGAAACCATGGATTCACACAAATGCCCTTAATTTCAAACTATTACCTCAAAGTTTTTTTTAGTTTTCTTTTCTACCTAAATGCCCTCTTACATTATTTGGGCTCCTATACCTTGCTCCGGGTCAGTGTAGCACCCATTCAGATACAAATACTTTCCTTGATCTCTTCAAGCTAACTGCTTCAAGTCTGACTAGTTCAAGAAGGTTTGGAAAAGAGGGTCCTTTTGCTCTTTAAAGCACAGCATTTTTACATTGTAGTCATCCTGGGAAAATAAGTGATTCCACTTGTAACGCAAGATTATAGATTCTCAGAAGCTCTAAACTTTTAAGTCCAATTACATTTACTGCCACATTTGGTGTCCTTTAGTAGTGAGGGAAGTCATGGAGATGGTCTCCTGTGGCTTACACCTTTGGAACCAAGTAACAGCAGGGCCCTTAGTCTTTAGACAGTCACCTTCACCACAAGTAAATCATTATATTTACACAGTATGTTGAGACGGTACAATTGTTTTTCCTCTAGGCCTCTAGTTTTTGTGATCTTGAGGTTGCAGACTGGCAAAATGAAGATTTCAGTTAAACAGTTCTTCCTTGGTCTTTTACCATATCTCAGATTCGAATCTGTTGCTTTCTTGATTGTATCCAGTTTTCTCTTACAATTAGGTCTCAACTTTGGCTACTGTTGTTTAAGATGCCTTTGATTGTAAAATGTGTTGATTTGAGAAGTGCTATCATGTGGAAAAATGTGCATTTTATTTTGATAAATAGGTTGTAACTGAAAAGAATTCTTACTTACAGATTTATTTCTGGCTCTTCTAAAAAAAATCCGATGATTTTTATCTTTCTCGGCCTGACTTCATGTAAAATTTGTATCAATGTGCTCTAACCAGAGACCACCAGGAATAAACCCTTGGTCGAATATGTTAGTTAAGTGAGGGAGAATGCACACACATGATGAGGAAGTTTGGGACATCTCACTAATAGAGTATTAGAAAAGGTTTATTATAGGGTTTTAGATTGTATTAGGTGATTTTAGGGAGAGGTTAGGAAGTGGGCTTCCTTCTGATTTGAATATTGTGAGGAAGCATTGGTAATTAATTCTGTGATAAGGTATCCTAATAAATATCATCTAGAAGCGTGGAAGCCCAAAGCAATAATTTATAAAGAAGTCAGTCATTCATATTAGGATTTGGGATGTTTGGCCATCTTTGTTATTTGGACAGAGTTCATTTTTGTCTGTTGTGAAAAAATTACATGGTAGTATTGTTTTGTGTTGATTCATCATGATCATGGCATGGCTTTATCTGATGTTGATGCTTTATGAAATTGTTTATATTCAATATTAAAACATCAAGACCTAACTGTGGTTTCTAATCAGGTCCTAACAGCAGTAGGGACTAATTGATATTAACAGGCTAGCTCCCAATATCAGAGGCTGCTTTTGTATCTTCTCAACTGTTTCTTCTTTCTTTCTGTTTGCTATATGAACATCTTCTTCTCTCTTTTATCTGTCTTTCTGTCTATGCCAATTTGTTCCTTATGTTCTTCCAGCATACCTATATCTAAGGTTTTGAGAACAGATCAAAAGCATCAGATCTGTGATAATGCATAGGTTCCAAGATCTTTTAAGCCCCTCTTCTGTATCATCTTTGCATATTCTTTTTTTTTAAAGTTTATTTATTTATTTTGAGGGGGGGAGCAGAGAGAGAGAGAGAGAGAGAGAGAGAGAGAATCCCAAGTAGGCCCCATGTTCAGTGCAGAGCCTGACACAGGGCTCAAACTCCTGATCTGTGAGATCATGACCTGAGCTGAAATCAAGAGTCAGAAGCTCAACCGAGTCACCCAGGTGCCCCTCTGCTTTGTGTATTCTTTTTTTTCATTTGCTTCCATATGTTTCCTGTCTTCTTTTGGACTGTTCCTCTACAGAATTGTGATAGGATTTCAGTCTGTATTTACACAAGTACTAACTTGACATCCATTTAAGATACTGCTTTCGGAAATGGAAAGTTTACTTACTGAATTACAAATGCAAGTAAGATGTGCATGTCCCTCATACCTATGGACTCCAGGTTGTTAGGATTATCTTTCCAGTTGGATTTCAGTGACTCTTGTGGTCCCTATGTTATAGAGAAATTATTTGACACTGTATATGTGTATTCTTTTTTTCCTAATATTGGCCTTAGAAAAAGCAAATGGCTTTTGTTTCTTTAGGTCCTACTCCTAGCTTAAATTGAACGTTCTATCCCATATATCCTGATTCTTAAACAGGAACTTTATTTTCCCCCTACTTTCTTGAGCTTTTAGAACTCTTTAAGCCTCAGTAAATTAGCCTCCAGATTAGTCTTCTAGATTCACTTTTTCAAGACTTTTCATAATGTGAGGCACCTGGGTAGCTCAGTTGGTTAAGTTTCTGACTTCGGCTCAGGTCATGATCTCGCGGTTTGTGAGTTCAAGCCCTGCATCGGGTTCTGTGCTGACAGCTCAGAGCCTGGAGCCTCTTTCAGATTCTGTGTCTCCCTCTCTCTCTGCCCCTTCCCTGCTCGCACTCTCTCTGTCTCTCTCTGTCTCAAAAATAAGTAAACATTAAAAAATTAAAAAAAAAGACTTGTCATAATGTATGTTTTTGTGTTCCTATCCATTCTTTAAGTCTTCCAGAATTACTTTGATGGTGATTATTTTTGTCTTGCCAAGTAAATGTGATAAGCACAGGTATTTGTTGAAAACAAAGATGATTATTCTTATATAGGATAACATAGTTTGAACATTTTATACTGTAAGAGGATGAATTGGCCATTCAGAAAAATATACAAGAGTATTTAAGGGTATCTGAGAATATTCATTGGAGAGTAAAATAAGATCACATGGTAGAAATTAATTTTACACGGTAGTTTAAATAAAAAGAGGGACATAAAAAAGTAAGAAATAGAGAAGCATATACCAGGTGGGAAGATAGACCTGTAAAATATGGGAAATGGAAATGATTAAAGGAATAATTTCTGCAATTAACATAAATTGAGGACCTTCTATTATTGTCAGGTTCTCTAGGCTTCTAGAGATATGGATAAAGAAGAGGAAGTCTCTGCTTTTAAGAAGATTAGTATTGTAGGAAGAAGGATATTTAAAAAATCATTTGACATGCTGTGTTACAAATACACTAACAGATTATGTTTTTATTACAGTGTGGACACAAATGAAAGAGTTTAAATTCTGTTTGAATCATTTAAGAAGTGTTTCTCAGATATTCACTGGATTATGTTGGACTAGATTTAGGAGCAGTCAGGGTATAGCATAAGTTATTTGGTGTTCAAGGTCAGTTTTCATGGTAATGGAGATATACATATTTAAGGGTAAATTTTGAGTTTCTACTTGTAAATATCTATTGCCACTTGTTGAATAGAAGAAATCATAACTGCAGGGGGCCGCCTGGGTGTCACAGTCCATCAAACATCCGACCCTTGATCTCTCCTCAGATCATTCTCATGGCTTGTGAGTTCTATCCCTGTATTGGAATTCTGTCTCTCCTTCTCTCTACCCTTCCCCTGCTTATGCTCTCTCTGTCTCTCTCTCAAAATAAATAAATAAATAAACTTAAACTACAAAAAAAAAAAAGCAAGAAATCATAACTCTGGTTGAATGAGTCAGAATTTAGTTTTCTATTACCTCTGCAGCTGGTGGATCATAGGGTTACTTTGTGTAATGATCAAACTTGTAACTAAGATTTAGAAATGATTCAAGGAAGATCTTATTAATTGGTAGAGTTTAATGTTATCTAAATTATAATGCACATTTAAAACTGCATTCTGTTTTTTGTTGATTTGTTATAAAGATAGGTTTTTTGTTTAAACCTTTGTATCTAAAAACAGAAAATTCCTGTAATGGTTGTTTTCTTTTACAGGTGGTAGATCATCTAATGCAAAATTGCCCTCGGTTCCAACAGTTGGTTCAGTTCCAGAAGACCAAGTTTCAAATATGAGGTATTTAAGCTAATTGGATATTTGTGATTTGTTCTTTTGATGACTCTTTAAACTCTCTAGCTACAGCTCTTTGTTTAAAAAAAAACTTTATTTTTTCTACTTCTTTTTTTAAATATAAGTGACATTTAGAACATTTTAGAAGTTCCTTTTTAAAGATTATGAGATATAAAAAGTTTATGAGAAGTGGCTATTAAAGTAAGTGCTGCATGAATAACAAATTCTTAATTACACAGGGCCTGCTTGGGATTCTGTCTCTCCCTCTGTCTCTGCCCCTCTCCTGCTTGCACTCTCTCTCTCTTTCAAAATAAATAAACTTAAAAAAAAAGAAAGAAAAAACTGCTATAGACGTAGATGTCAATGGAAAAGAATATAAAGTGATTAGGTTTATAAACGTATATTGAGTCTGTATTATATGCTGCAGCTGAGAACTTAGAAATGAAGACATAGTTCTTGAGCTCAAAGTGCTGATGGTTAATTGGTGAACAGACAAATTTGGTAAGGACTTAGAGTTTTTTTTTAGGTTAAAATGGTGCTAAAATTAAAATCAAGTGCTCTCAACTGACCCATTAAGATTTCCTATAAAAGCTTATCCTTGGAGTGGTTTTTTACCAGATTGTTTGTCAGGGCTGGGGATGATGATGTAGAACTGACTAACAAAGGGCAATCCAGGCAGAAGGAATGATATGTATAGCAATAATGAGTCCTTACGTAATTTTTAATTTCTCGTGAATTTTACATTTCTGTGGAAGCTCATTTTAAAAACTGAAAGTTGTAAATTCTAATGAAAAGTTCAGGTAACTTAACATCTTTTCATTAGTATTACAGAGAGACTTGAACATGCTTTGGAAAAGGCAGCTCCTCTTCTGCGAGAGATTTTTGTGGATTTTGCACCTTTTCTTTCTCGGACACTTTTGGGTAGTCATGGGCAAGAATTGCTAATAGAAGGAACAAGTAAGTGATTTTTCTGTATGTCACTTTATAAATATATATTTAAATTTATATTTAAAATTTCAAGCTTAACTTAAATAGAAAATATGAGATGCATGGAGTTTCATTGCTCAAGTATTTTCATCCTTTGACAAGGATTCTTACAGAGGCTGTATCTTGTGAAGAATATGTCTCGTCTAATATTCTTATATGTTCAAGATTTTTTAATCGGTGAATTGGATGAAACATAAAAGTATGTACTGAACCAAAGAACTAAGACTTAGATTTTTCTTAATGCATTGATGGAAAGATTAGTGTTATAGTAGTATTTATATGGGCTTTTACTTGAACTTAAGATCCAGATAAACAATAGTATTGCCACATATTAGATAAATGAGGAATGTGTTATTTATCTTTATTAGTAGAATTCTGTTTTATAAAGAAGTGGAAATAGCAGTAGTCTTGTACTCTATCCTGCTTATATCATACATAGATTACTGGATCATTTCTACTTCAAAGTAGCATACTTTGAGATTGTGTTAAACTAGATAGCATGTAGAGTTGGTTGCTGAGTGAATTGGAAACCATGCTGTTTATGGACTGGATGAAAAGTTTTGGGACTTTTTTTTTTTTTCCTGATAAGGGGCACTTGTTATGTAGTCAGTGTTTTCTAATAGAATGGGTAACTCAACCAAATGGTATCAGTTCAGTAGAGAATGGCTTTTCAAACAATTCTTTTTGAGAGCTTAATAGACTGACTTCAGAATACCAGTCCTCATCCTTATAATGAAAAATTTTTAAGGATAAGCTAGAGGACTTTCATCAGTGATAATACAGAATTGATTTTTTGTATTCAAAGTGTTGGGCTAGAAGTTTGCCAAACTCTGGCTTGTCTGTGTCCATGGTTGATGGTTTAAGATAAAATACTTTTGTTTTCCTAAAGCTGAAAAATCATGGAAAAATAGAATATCTATAGCCCAGTCTCTTTAAATATGGATTTACAGCTTTAGTTATCATATTTTTTTGTTGAGCTATGGTCAGTAGATGATCTCTTGAGGAATTTCTTAAAACTTGTAAAAATCACTCTTTTCATAGAAATAAGGATATGGAAATTCAAGGTATAGGTAGGTTAATAGCTTAGTAAGTTATCTGTATCTCAGCATTACCTAGGAGATACCAGCACTTTGTAAGTAATAAGCTTCAGCTGACATGAATTTTATTATCATCTCTGCTATAGATGTATAGGGGGTTGGTGGTGAGTGATGTCATTTCCATAGAGGGAAAAGGTAGCGTTGAATTTATTTGAAAAAGTTCAGGTTTTAGAAATATTTGATTAATGTGGGGTAGAAATTTACATTATCTGCCAAAGGATATAATTTATTTAGCCATGCATGGACTATTTGATCTAATGAAGTAGTAAGATTTGAAAGATAATGAGTTGAAAAATTAAAGGATGTCTCCGTAATTCATACTTCACATGTTGTTTATTTTTTAAAGTGGTGTGACAACTTAGGAACTGTATTTCATTAATATAAAATAAATTATTAATTACAGCCTTTTGGTGTAGGAAGACATTGTTGCTTTTTAGTTGGTCTTTGAGTTTTATAATAGATCAAACAAAATAGGATCACCTTAGATACTCGGAAGTACTAAATTTGCCATTTCTGGATCCCTGAATAAAATTTAATTTATCAACTTCTTACTGGTAAATTCTGATAAACCAGTAAGCAATAGTGCATCATCTTCCTTGTTATCTAAAAACCTGAGCAGTGCCTACTCATTGGACTGTGTTCATTATAATAGCAAACAAATCTAAGAGTTTTACGTTAGTTATGTCTGTATTTTAGGTTGTGAGGAATGTTTTGGTTGGTGGTTTTATGCATTGTGAAATAAAGAAGTTTTGAGTAGAGGTATTTGCAGCATGGTACTATACAAAAAGCACTGGACTCAAAGACAGGAAACCTTGGTTTTAATCCTGTGTTTGCCAGTCACTAGATGTATGACCAGACACTGTATAGTGTGTGTGTGTGTGTGTGTGTGTGTGTGTGTGTGTGTGTGTGTGTGTATTTAAAAGTTTTTAAAGTTTATTTTGAGAGAGAAAGAGAGCGAGCAGTGGAGGGGCAGAGAGAGACAGAGGGAAAGAGAGAATCCTAATCAGGGCCTGCAGTGTTAGTGCAGATTGTGACGTGGGGAGCTCGATCTTACGAATGGTGAGATCATGACCTGAGCCAAGATCAAGAGAGGGACATTTAACCGACTGAGCCACCCAGGTGCCCCTACTTTTACATTTTTTAAATAATTTTTTTATTTAAGCAGTTTTAAATATGTTAAATATTTATAATAACCATGAACTTATTGCCAACTACCAAACCATTTTTGTTTTGCTGTTTGTTATATCTACCTGTTTTTTTTTTTTTGCTTTAGTACTTAAGACAATTCCAGACATTTTGTCATTTTACCCTTAAATAATTAATAGTCCATGTAAAAAAGGATATTTTCCTTTATAATCACAATTGCTCCTCTTACACCTAATATTCATAATAGTTTTGTGCCATATCATACTCAGTTCATATTCATTTTCATTTAGATGTCTTTTTATAATTGGTTTTCTTCTAAGATACAATCAAAATCAATTTATTGCATTTGGTTATGTCTCTTAAGTCTTTATTAATATCAAATAGTTTCACCCTATTCTTCCACTATTTTAATGCTATTGTTTCTTGGTGATGTCATTTAATTGTTTCTCTGTCCCATGCATTTTCTAATGGCTTGAAATTAGATTTAAAAGTTTAATTAGAGGTAATACTTAATATTACATCATGCTTATTAGAACCACATATTTTCTGATTGTCTCAATTGTAGTGATATTAACCTTCTTTTTCAATCCTTTATAAGGATTAATATTTTATTGTTTAAAGAGGTCCTCCAAATACAAAGAGAAAATTACTTAAAAAATATATTCCATCTTAGAGTTACCATATGTAAGTTCATTGGACAAGTTTTATAAATCTAAGATTTGTTATAGGGTGTTTGTGGTCTTAGTTTTCCTATACCTTAAAACATTTGGCTATTTCACTGTTACTCATCAGTTATTCCTAACGATAGTAAGGACTAAAATAATAAGAATACAAGAGTACTGGAATTGCCCCTAGAATTTATGCCACGATAGGAAAACAAATCATCACTATCAGATCACCCCCAGTTTTTACTGCATTTCTCAAAGTACATGATCGTATTTTATTTTATTTTTTTTTTTATTTTTTTTTTTT